ACGCCGACGCCGCCGCCGACAGCGCCGACGCCGACGCCGACGCCGACGCCAACGACGACGCCGACGCCGACGCAGACGACGACGACGACGCCGACGCCGACGCCGACGACGACGACGGCGACCCCTCTCACACTCTGGGGGCCTCCCAGCGGGTGGAAGCGGCAGGTCTCCCCTGGGAGAGGGGGGAAAAGGTGCCCCCGTCGGGCCCTCCAGGCACCCCTCCAGGCTTTACCTCCTCCTCCTCCTCCTCCTCTTCCTCCCCCTCCGCCGAAAAGGCCCCCTTTATCCTTGTTCCTTATTAGAATACACCCCCATCTACGTCGTATTCCGGCCGATAGCGACCCAATCCGGGACCTCCCATCAGGACTGAAAAAAATCAATACGAAGTGGCCGTTTTTCTTCTCAACATCGTCTTTCCTGTCGTCGACGATGCGAAAAGCGTGGCACCAATGGGACGCGGCGCACATCGCGCGCGGCAGTCAATCTGGGCCCGCCCATCCTCACTGTAACAAATCAATACAAAGTCTTCGGTGTTTCATCTCAGCATGGCCTGCCTTGCCGCCGACGGTGCGAAATCTGCGGCACCAGTGGGACGCGGCGCACATATGGGACGCGGCGCACATCGCGCGCGGCCGTCAATCCGGGCCCGCCCATCCTGACTGTAACAAAATCAATACAAAGTCTCCGATGTTTCCTCTCAGCATGGCCTGCCTTGTCGCCGACGGTGCGAAATATGTGGCAGGAGTGGGACGCGGCGCGCATCGCGCGCGGACGTCCATGCGGGCCGCGGGCCCTCCCATCCTGACTGTAAAAAACAATACAAAGTTGCCGATTTTTCCTTTCATCATGACCTGACTTGTCGTCGACGATGCGAAATGTGTGGCAGGAATGGGGCGCGGCGCACATCGCGCGCGGACTTCTGGGGCAACCCCAAGGCGGGAGGGGCCCCCTTACTTGTCAGAAGCAATGCCATGCTGATTTTCGCTTGCCCACATAGCTGTTGCCCACCCCGCAAAAATGCATGGCAAGAATTGGGCGCGGCACCCCCCCCCCCGCTCGAAGTGAATGAAATGACCCTCTCGCTTGGGCGCCGAGCGAAATTTTCTCAAAGTTGCGCTCCCGCTTTGGCTCGGCGCACGTTTTTAGCTCGCCAATTCACTGGGCGCCAGGGCGTTCCAGGAGGCCCTGGGGTGACGAATGCCTGCGAGGTTTTTGCTTGTTCAGGCTCTTGGAGGGCCTCCTGCGTCTCCCCGCGGTTTATTGGCGCTACGGCCGTCTGGAGGCCATCTTGGGCGTCTTGGAGCGATCTTTCGGCGACTCAGGGCTACTACCACTACTACTACTACTACTACTACTACTACTACTACTACTACTACTACTACTACTACTACTACTACTACTACTACTACTACTACGACGACGACGACGACGACGACGACTACTTCTTATTCTACTACTACTACTACTAGTACTACTACTACCACTACGCTCCAGCACCCAGTTGCGCCATCATTGTTTCTTATGTTGTAGGAGGGCGGAACGTGTCCGTTGTTCCTTTCAACATGGCCAGTCTTGTCGTCGACGTTGCGAAATTCGTGGCGGGAATGGGACGCGGCGCACATCCCGCGCGGACGTCAATGCGGTGTCCTGGCGTATCCTCCACTCGCACTGAAATGCCCGCGCAACCCCCAGTTGTGCCACCACTGTTTCTTATGTTGTGGGAGGGCGGGTGGGAATGGGGATGCCATGCTCGATTCGCTCGAGCTGGCTAGCTTGATGCATCCCTGACCCCCCCCCCCACCACAGCCAGGCCTCGGGAAAGAATGGCGACCACTCGCATGCCACATTCGTCGGTCCACGCCTCCCCCTCCCCCCAACGATGTTCGACGTTGGCGGTGGGTCTGATGAAATGCACTTCGACCGCACTCCTCCGCGCGTGCCACCTGTGAATTTGGAGGAAAAGCGGGAGTGTCCTCTACCCATCGGTCGGAAGGAGCAGGTAGAAACATGAAGCAGGAAGGCGTTGAAAATAGATTGGGTTCCGTCCGCCCTCTAAGGAGGACGGAACAGGTGAAGCCACTCGATCGTAAAAGTAGGAAGGCGCTTAACATAGATTGGAACATGGGAATCCACAAAGACCTACTTCCAACGACACATGGGAAAGTGTTCCCCCCCTGCCGTTGCGCGTCCTCGGATCCCTCGTCAAGAAGTGGCTCCGCGCTCCCGAGTGTCCAAGACGGCCGAGGCAGGCCGCCAGGGCCCGCACAAGAGAGCAGGAGCGCGGCACACGCGCCAGGGCGAGAGCGCCGCTCGGAGCGGCCCAGCACCTTCCAAGAGACGACTGCAGGAGCGCACGGCAACGAAACACTTTTGACATCTTGCGTGTGAGCAGTGCCCGCGTGGGATCTGCGGCTGGCAGGAGCACAACACGCGGCGGGAAGAGAACCCCAGAGCACGCCCATAACACATACTCGCAGGCATAGAAAACTAGGAGCTACTGGGGAGGACGAGAGGGGACAATCTGCAAGAAAAGAGCAGAGCGTACAGGGGAGACCGCGCAAAGGATCAGACATGACATGCCGATGGGGTACTACATCTATCTGCAAGGTGAGAGGAGAGAAGGCGGACTTCTAGCTCTCGGAGCGGCTGCCAGAAGCATATTATGAGGAGGGCGGGTGGTAGAGGGTGCCACGATGTGGTCTCACATAGCAGAATGTAGGCGTCAACGAACACAACGGAGTGAGAGCAGATCGGACACGTAGAAACGGAGCATGCCGAGAGGAGACCCGGGACGGAGCAGCACCTGCAGAGCCGAGAGCCGAGAGCCGAGAGCCGGCACGGCAGAGGGCAGGGCGCCGAGACGAGAACGCTGACGGAAAGCACAGGATGCACCCGATCCCCTCCTCCTCCTCCTCCTCCTCCTTCTCCTCCCCCTCCTTTTTGTTCCTTCTCCTCCTTCTCTTTTTCCTTTTTTTGTTCCCCCTAATTTTCTCTCTTTTTCTACTTTCTGTTTCCTTCTCCATTCACTCATTTATCTCATTTCCTCCTCCTCGTCCGCATACGGTCGGGAACTCTTGCTTCCTGTGTCGTGGCGGCAGCCCCCCAGCGACTCCTTTCACGCGGCGCTCCGCTTCGCCTTTCGCGGGGCGCGCGGCTGGCAAAGGCTCGGGACGCCGAGGCGTGGGAATCACCAGCCCTCCAGGGCGCGAATAGTTCAGCGAGGTTCCCCTTCCAACCCGCTTCCTCCCCTTCGGGGAGGGCTTATCTCTGTTCCTCATGAATAACCCCCCCTCACCCAGGCGACCGGCAGCCAACCAGGAACAATACTGCACTCCCTCCCCACCATCCCAGTCAAAAGACAATGGGGCACATTCTTGGGTCATGATCGGGGGGGGCGCGAGCACTTTGTACTGTTTTATTGACAGGGACGGCGGGGGTGCCCGCAGATTGCCTGCCACTGAAAAATGAAACATGCACTTCGAGACAAAATCTGGATCATGCGCGGGCACCCCGCGATCACTGTGCATTGGTTTTTGACTGGGGCGGCGGTTGTGCAATGTGCAGGCCCACCAGACGCTATATTAGCCACCCCTCCGCGATTGCGTACTGGTTTTCGACAAGGGTGGTGGGGGCCGACACGTTTCCCGATGCGTACTGCCACGTGCGCAGGCGCACATGGCACACTCTGCGCGTGCCTCGAACGTGGCGCACCTGGCGCGGCTGGAGCATGCAGCACACATGGCGCACGTGGATCACGTGACACATCTGGAGCACCAGGCGTGCCCGGCACGCTTGGGCCACAGGGGTGCCTGGCGCACCTGGCGCGCGTGGCACGCCTGGCACGCCGGGCGCACCTCGCCGCAGCGTTGCGCACATCATTAGCTGTCCATCCACAGACAACCGCTGAGCACGCTGCGGTTCAGGTGCTGATGCGTTGGGAGGGCGGGTGGGAGCGAGCGGGACGGCTTGCGGGCGGGGAAGGTGTCTTGACCTATCCCCCTACCCCCCCCCTGGAACTGGACAGGGCGCCCCGCGACCCACTGGAGCGTCCATGAAGGCCTCGGCAAGAATGCAACAATCATGGACTTTCCACAAGTGTTGGGCCCGCTTTGACCCCCCCTTCGTTCGTCGAGCTCCTCCAAGATGGCCCCAAGATGGGCCCAAACGATCCCAAGAGTGCCCCAAGAGGGCGCGCAGGGGGCCCGAAGAGGCCTGCAAGAGGTCCTAAATGAGGAAAGATGCTCCAAAGAAAACCCCCAAATGCCTCGAGAGGCTCCCCCAAAGCACCCACGACGCTTCAAGAGGCCCCCAGGATTGCCAAGCGGCCCCCAAGGCGCCCCGAGAAGATTCCAAGGAGCTCTCGAGAGACATGCGAAGAAGACTCCGAGATGCATCCAAGAGGCATACGGCCTCTCTGCTCGCCCTCCTCCTCCTCCTGTTCCTCCTCCTCCTCCTCCTCCTCCTTCTCCTCCTCCTTCTCCTCCCTCCAGCTCTTCCTCATCCGCCCATTCCCCTCCTCCCTCCTCCTCCAGCCCCCTCCCCCTCCCCCTCCTCCTCCCCCTCCCTCTTCCCCTTCCTCCTCCGCCACCAGCCTCTGCCTCTTGGGGTATGACGGTTTTCCCACCCATTTATTCCACGTTTTGCTCCTCCACATCCCTGGTCAGGATACCTGAGCATCGATTCTGGATGGGCTGGTTGTGTTCCCCGAAGCGTCGAACATTGAATACATTTAGCGTGTCGTTCCGAAGTGTGGTGGGCCATCAACGGCGGCACGATGTGCTAAGCAACAAGCGTTCCTGACCGTATACCTCTCAACCTCACCTCAACCTCACCCCCAGCGGCTCACAGCACCTTCCTTCGACGCAGAGTCCCCCTTGCCCTCCACTCACCAAAGACACTTCCACAAATCCCGGGACCACCGCGTGAGTTCCCGGAACTGTTTCTTGGGACACTCCGGGAAACCTCCGAACACCATGCCGACGGCTTCCGCCCCCCCCCCCAGGCAAGAGGCGGAGGACTGGGACACAGGACGAGGCGACCTGCTCGCTGGCACCGGAACCTCGGCGCAGGACTGGCCCGGCGAGGTCGGAGCCGGCGTCGTTGGGAGAGGGGACACAAGGAACCAGGAGAGACGATCAGGCAGTGGCCAGGCCCGCACCTGGCCGGCCGCGCAATTCGCCCGCGGAAGAGGTCACCGCGCGCCCCATCCCCCGGCGTCGTCAGGAGGTCTTTTCCTGCAGCCAGACCTTCATCGAGTTGTAGGCCTGGGGAAGGGGGGAGGGTCGGACTGGCCTGGCTGCAGAAGAGGGGCGCCAGGCGAACCTGATGATGGCCAAGGCCACCGCCAGACGACGTGGGCACCCCAAAGAGAGACTCTACATTCTACATTTGAATCAGCTGCCCACCACAGGGCAACGCAATGAACCCTTGGTCGGGGGCGGCCTGGAGGTGTGCGCTGGGCAAGGAACATGGCCGCACGCTGTGCACTAGGCAAACACGATACGAGATCCTGCTGTAACAATTTTTGGGGCACATTCCTCATCGACCTTGGAGGGTGCTGAGCTGCCCCAAAGTTTCCGTGGCCCCTGGAGGAATCAGGGCATCTGAACTTTCCAACGGGCATTCGGTGGCAGGCCGATTTCTTGGACTGATGTGCCAGCTGTGATGAAACCGATGTGCGACTGGACGCGACATGAACCACCAGCAGCGAAATATTTTTCGACGGCGAGCCTGGGGGGAGAAGTGGGAAGGGACGGGCCTTCTCAGAAGGCTTGGAAGTCCCCCGGCCTTCTGATGAGTTTTCGAAGCCTTCCCCGAAGACACAGGACACTTCTCAAAAAGCGCGAGGGGTTCTGAGAAGTCCCGCCGCCTTCTGAGAAGGCCTTCTCCTTCTCATTTGTCCCCCTCTCTCGCCGCTGACTTTGTTCCGCCCCTGAGAAGGCCTTCTCCTTCTCATTTGTCCCCCCCTCTCTCGCCGCTGACTTTGTTCCGCCGCTGCACGGCAGAGGCGATCCGCACGGTCGCTCGGGGTGTCGGGGGCGCGCGACAAACTGACCGTCCGGCAGCAGGAGGAGAGGGCGCGCGGGAGGAGAGGCGGCCGCAGAGGACTGGAGGGATTGGGGGGGCACCGGCAGTCCAGCAGCGCAGCGCCCGGTGAAAACAACCGCGAGAGCGAGGGCGACGCGCACGGCGACGAGAGAGGTCGACAGGACGCGCCGCCCAAATCTCTTCGCCTCGGCAGTCGCGGCCTGGTGGCCTGTCTCGGAAGGACACAGAGCTGTGCACCGACCATGGCCAGGCCCACCCTGGGCCAAGGATCGGTGCATATGCGCCTGCCTCTGGGCCAGGAGGGCAGGTGCACCATCCTCTCTCTCGACTACTCTGAGCATGGATGCCGCAACAAAAACACGTGGCAGGAGGAAACGGGAGAGGAGGGGGAGGGCAAGAGCGCGGGCTGCCCGCCCGGCGCCGCCGCCGCGCCAGCGCGGCCCGCCTCGCCCTCGGCCCGGGCCCCAGGGTGGAGGGTGTCTCTGAAGGACTTAGGCGACCCGTCCTCCTCCTCCTCCTCCTCCTCCTCCTCCTCCTCCTCCCTCCTCCCTCCTCCCTCCTCCTCCTCCTCCTCCCTCCTCCTCCTCCCTCCTCCTCCTCCCCCCTCCTCCTCCTCCTCCTCCTCCTCCTCCTCCTCCTCCTCCTCCTCCTCCTCCTCCTCCCTCCTCCTCCTCCTCCTCCTCCTTCCTCTCCCTCCTCCCTCCTCCCTCTCCCTCCTCCTCCTCCCTCCTCCCTCCTCATTTTCCTCCTCCTTTTCCTCCTCCTTTTCCTCCTCCTTTTCCTCCCCTTTTCCTCCTCCTTTTCCCTCCTCCTCCTCCTCCGCCTTCTCCTCCTTTTCCTCCTCCTTTTCCTCCTCCTTTTCCTCCCCTCCTCGCTCCTCCTCCCTTCTCCTCCCGCCCTCCTCCTCCTCCTCCTCCCCCTCCTCCTCCTCCTCCTCCTCCTCCTCCTCCTCCTCCTCCGCCTCCTCCTCCTCCTCCTCCTCCTCCTCCTCCTCCTCCTCCTCCCTCCTCCCTCTCTCTCTATATCCGTCCTGCCTTCCGCCGCGGCACCGGGGCAGCGACGGCGGCTCGCGGCCGAGCGGCGAGAGAAACCAGCATGGAGCCAGGTGTCCGGCCTCGTCTCGCCTCTCGACACTCGGCTGCACGCGAGAGGTAGTGGGCTGATGTTCCACCGCCACCACTGGAAGCAGGAGGAGGAGGGGATCCTCCTGCTCCTCCTGCTCGTCCTCCTCCTGCTCCTCCTCCTCCTCCTGCTCCTCCTCCTCCTCCTTCACCTCCTTCCCCACCTCCAACTTCTGGTGGTGGTGGTGGGAAAGCAGGCCCATCAAGAGTGGCCCCAGGCAGGGAGCGGCCTGTCCGCGCCCGCCCCCCTCCTCCTCCTCCTCCTCCTCCTCCTCCTCCTCCTCCTTTTCCTTTTCCTCCTCCTCCTCCTCCTCCTCCTCCCTCCTCCTCCCCCCCTCCAACTTCTGGTGGTGGTGATGGTGGAAAACAGGCGCATCAAACCGGACGCAGACGCACACCTTGATTTCCTCCTGGTGCTGATCGGAGGCGAGCGAGGGGGGGAAGGCAAGCTTGGTGCGCTCGCGTCATATCTGACGTCCTACCCCTCCCTCCCATCCCTTACCATGGCGCCGATTTTCTCTATCCGCGGACGCGTGTCGTAGCGGACCTGTGGCTCCGCGCGCGCGTGCGTAGTGGGTGGTGGTGCACGTGCGTGCGTGCGTGCGTGCGTGCGTGCGTGGTTGTGTGGTGGTGGTGGTGGTGGTGGTGGTGGTGGTGGTGGTGGTGGTGCTGGTGCTGTGCTGGTGCTGGTGGTGGTGGTGGTGGTGGTGGTGGTGGTGGTGGTGGTGGTGGTGGTGGTGGTGGTGGTGGTGGTGGTGGTGGGTGGTGGTGGTGGGGGTGGTGGTGCGGCGCGGTGGTGGCGGGCGGATGGGCGCGCGAGAAAGAAGGCCCGCGCTGGGGCGAGAACGCCATCCTGAACGACGGAGGCCAAACACCGATCCGAAAATGAGGCCCACGCTGCAGCGGGAGCACGGCGCGGTGGTGGCGGGCGGATGGGCGCGCGAGAAAAGGCCCGCGCTGGGGCGAGAACGCCATCCTGAACGACGGAGGCCAAACACCGATCCGAAAATGAGGCCCACGCTGCAGCGGGAGCACGATTCGGAACGATTCGGGAGCAGAAATGAGGCCGGCGCCTCAACGAGAGCAGCATTTTGGGAAAAAATGACGCCGGCGCCTCAGCGAGAGTCGTTTCCCGGGATTTCCCGGGCATCCTGCGTGTAAAAAAAACAGTACGCGGAGGGTGCGCGGCCATCACCCGGACGCCATCAGGGAAAGAGGGAGAGTATATTCATATTGAGTAATTGTTGAGAAGGAGCCGGCCCTCTGAGAAGGCCCGCCCCCTCTCACTCCCCCCCCCTGGGCTCGCACCGCCGATGTCGTGCCGCCGAGCGCGTGAAGCCTCTGGGCCTCGGGCGGCCTCCGGAGGTCAGGGGCCTCCGGAGGCCCTCCGGGACCCCCCCCCTTGGGGGCCCCAAGCGGCCCCCGGGAGCGTCGGGAAGCGGACCCAGACGCATATCTTGAGTTCCTCCTGGCGTTAAGTCGGGCCTATCCTCCTACAGGAGTTTTGGAGGAGAAATGCAAGATAGTCAAAAAATGCCCCGACATGGCCAGAAAATGCTCAAACAATCGTCCCCATCCCATTTTTGACTCATTTTGAAGATCCTCCTGTAGAAGGACAGGCCCGATTTCCTCCTGGCGCTGAACGGCGGCGAGCGCGGGGGGGGGAAGGCGAGAAGGAGACGGCTCTCTCAGAAGGCGGCGGGACTTCTCAGAAGGCCTCGGGCCTTCCGAGAGGCTTTTCCTGCGTCCTCGGGGAGGGCTTAGAGAACGTCTCAGAAGGCCCGGGGACTTCCGAAACGTCCGAGAAGGCACTTTCCTTCTCACTTCCCCCCCTCGATCGCCGCCGAGCTGAAGCAGGACAAAGCCAGGACGAGGATAAATCCGGGTGCGGATAAATCGAGATTGTCTGAGATCTGGCGGCTCTGGAGGATGTATCGGGCGCCGCGGCCTTCTCAAAGCGTTCCGGAACGCTCTCGGAACGCTCCTGGAACGCTCTGGAAAGGACATATTCTCGTCCCAGCCCCGCCCGCTGAAGTTATGGGAAAGTGGTGATCTGGAAGTCCCAGAGGTCTCTATATAGAGCCCCCGAGGTCCCCGGAAGCCTCTGGAGGCACGAACGGGGCCAGCAACTCCTTCACAGGCCCCCGACCCTCGAACATGCCTCAGGCTCCGACGTCGCAGAGCGAGCACGACATGCTGAAACACCATTCCTGGCGCCCTCGGCCCCACCTCCTCCTCCTCCTCCTCCTCCTCCTCCTCCTCCTCCTCCTCGTCCTCCTCCTCCTCCTCGTCCTCCTCCTCCTCCTCCTCCTCCTCCTCCTCCTCCCCCCCCCTCCTCCTCCTCCTCCTCCGCCTCCTCCTCCTCCTCCTCCATCCTCCTCTCTCTCCTCCTCCTCCTCCTCCTCCTCCTCCTCCTCCTCCTCCTCCTCCTCCTCCTCCTCCCCTCCTCCCTCCTCCTCCTCCTCCTCCTCCTCCTCCTCCTCCTCACCTCCTCCTCCTCCCCTCCTCCTCCTCCTCCTCCTCCTCCTCCTCCTCCTCCTCCCCCCCCCTCCTCCTCCTCCTCCTCCTCCTCCTCCTCCTCCTCCTCCTCCTCCCTCCTTCCTCCTCCCCTCCTCCGCCTCCTCCTCCTCCTCCTCCTCCTCCTCCCCCTCCTCCTCTCTCCTCCTCCTCCTCCTCCTCCTCCTCCTCGTCGTCCCCCTCCTTCCTCCTCCTCCTCCTCCTCCTCCTCCTCCTCTCTCCTCCTCTCCTCCCCCTCCTCCTCCTCCTCCTCCTCCTCCTCCTCCTCCTCCTCCTCCTCTCCTCCTCCTCCTCCCTGCCCGCGTGACACCTCTTCTGCTTCGCGCGAACAGCCTGCCCGAGCACGCGAAGCGGCAAGCCCAGGCTGAGCGCTGGCACGCCCCCTAGGCCCGGCGGCCGCGGTATGCGCAGGGTGGGCGAGGCAGGTCGGGAGCCTCGGCCTTTCAACTACAGCGACGGGACTGGATAAGGAACCACTGGATAACTCGCCATCGTTTGGGCGTCCATTCCCTGTTTTTTTTTCGGTTTCGTGCGTGGCTTTTTCGCCAAATTATCAAGGATGCTCCGCGAAGGTCCTC